TGAAGGGAGGGCAGGGGAATGGGGAAAAAATAAGAACCAAGAGAGATTATGTAAAGGTGCAAATTTCCAATGATGAGTGTCATTATATTGTTTACCTAAAATGTACAAAAAAAATTAATTTAAAGAAAAGAAATTTTGAACCCAAATAAACCTTTCCTCCTTAAATTGTGGGTATCTGGTATTTTGTCCCAATAATAGGAAGATGACTAATACAGGCCCCTTTCCTTCTTCCTTACTTCTCATTCTCTTTTTCTCCCATTACAATCTTATTTTTATAACTGCAATTCTATCAAAATTGCAATGGCCAGAGTCCAAATGATGTTTATTGTCAAATCCAGTGACTTCTTTTTTCTTAAGTTTGAAGCAATTTTTCACTGTTTGGCATTTGGGACACTATTACTCATGATTATCTTCTATTTCTTCTACTTCTTCTGCTTTTCAGCTTCTATGAGCAACTGCTCTCCTGCCCACCCCCGGAAGACTTTGGTGATCCCCTTGGGAGAGCCCATTCCCTCTCACAATTTAGCTGCCATCTTGAAAGCAGGATTTCCCAAACACCCATGGATCTAAAGCCCAAAGCAGGCCTGTGGTAAACATTGCATTTCCTCACCATGAGATTATTCCATTTTTGTTTTGTTTTGTTGAGTAAGAGATGGCTCAGATTTGGGGTTATTGTATCAAAAACTGTGTCTTGAAAGAGTGGAATTATGCTCAGTGAGGAGCTGTTCACACTGTGAGGGTGTAAAAGGGAAATAAAACCATTTAGAGGGATAGCAGATTCACACCTTCTGTTTCACAGTCCGTTTAGTGGATAGCCATGGAGTGACCTGGCAGGAAGGAAAGATTTAACAATTTCTCCTGTCTTTACATTACTTTTTTATTTAGAACTAAGCACACACAGATGAATTTGCATCATGGTGATGTCACATATCTCCACCCAAACTTTTACCATCTACTGCATATTTCTATTTAGTTGTCTCACAAGGTTTCAAGCTAAACATGTCCAATATTTATCCATCTTTACTTTTCACCTAGCCTTAATTACATCACTCTGCATTATTGATGTAACAAAAATACTTTCAAATATTAGGGACTCAACCAACAAAATTTTACTTCTCGTGTGTATTACAGTCCAAAGTAGGTGTTCTGGGCCAGGAGATGAGGGGGTAAAGTGAGGCACAGAGGATCTGTTTCTCAAAGACATCAAAAGGTCCAGACTGAGGAAGGCTCTGCCATCTTCAATATGTGGTTTCTAATGTGGTCTTGGTGTCAACATCGAGACAGGAGAGGGGAACAGAAGGGGACATCTAAGCTTTACTGTCACAGTCAGAAAGCGAGCATGTCCCAGCAGTAAGTCAACACCATGAGAGGAAACAAAGTTCAGCAGACAGCTACTCATCCATCACACTCTCCCTCCCGCCCCATTTCTAACTTGTTCTCCTACCTTTATCTCTTGTGTCTTGGTTTCCTCGTCTATAAAATGGAGTAACTATAGAGCTTTGTCCTAGGCAGTTGTGAAAATCGCTGTCTGGTCTCTTTGGGCAGCTGTAACAAGACACCACAGACTGGACAGCTTATAAACAGCAGAAACTTGTTTCTCATGGCTCTGGAAGAGGGGAGTCCCAGACTAAGCCACTGGCTCCTTGGTAAGAGGCCCCTTTCTGCATCAGGGGTGCAGAGATGGTGCCTTCTACCACATCTTCACATTGTAGAAGGGGAAATGAGCTCCCCGCGCCCCTTTTATAAGCGCTGATCTTATTCTTGAGCTCTTTGGCCTCATGATGTAATCATTTCCCAAAAGTCTTGCCTCCTCATACGGTCAAAGTTGAGATTGGATTTCAATAAATGAGCTTTAGGGCAGACAAACATTCAGACCATACCAACTGATATAATCTATGGAAAGCAATTAGAATGTGCCTGACTCACAGCTGGTGCTATTAGTTGATTAACTATTATGATTATCATTCAGTAGTTGTAGGGCTTCATCAACCACCCAGTTACACTAAGCAAAAGATTCTCTTCATCACTAATTTTCCATCAGTCACCAAGTCCTACTCATCTAAGTTAAAAATATACACATATTTATGCTCTTTTAAATGTAAGAGATAGCTGTTTCTGCTATGGAAATCATAGAATATAGATTTGAATTTTTAAAGGAAAACAAAAAAAATTGATTTAAGGGATCTAATATGCTCACTTGGCTTCGGGTGCCATCTTGAAAATGGGTCATGTACACTGGATTGGAGCTCTGAGCTGGAAAGATCTTGAGAACTCTTGTATTTCTCTCATTCTAAAATGAAGGGAAAGCTGGGACTAGAATGCAGGACTTTCCAGTCCACACAGATGTTCCATTTATACACAGCTGCATTCCTACCACATACTCTTCTCAATTCCCAGCCCTATGTTTACCTCCTAGTTTAACTGCACAGAAAGGTAAACTAAGAAAAACCAACTGAACAAGTCCTCTCCCAATCCTAATTTCTGGCTGATGTCTGATAAAGGAAAATGATAGCTGCATGAATCTCTTCCAATTTCCTATGGTTACCAGATTCTAGACTACTAAATTCTGATTCTTCTAACCTGCTTTACTCTGATCCTCATGCCCAGTGCAACCTTCCCGCCCACTCTTTATTCTGAGCAGCAGATGGCACTGTGCACACGCCAGAAGAGATGTCTTCTATGCTCCAAGAAAGTTGAAGGGGAAATGTGCTGAAGCTGTCTTCTAAGCACTCCTTTAACTTTAGAGACATCTTCGCTTTTCTTTTCCCAAACAGGAGTGCTCCTGATGAGCATGAGCTACATGATAGCAGGCACAAGTAACACCGTCTGTATATGTGCAATTAATGATGACATAGATGGCTGGTTCTTCACTGTACTTGTTTCCTCTATATAGTGGGACCATATTTCAGTTTCCAACTGTTAGATTTGGCCATATGACCAAATTATGGCCACTGAAATACAAAAAGAAGTGGTATGTGCTATTTCTAGGCCTGGCCTATGAAAACTCACTGCTCTTTCCCCTCCACAGGCTGGATGTCAATGCCCAGGAAGACCCCAGAGGCCATGGGTTGAACATGGTGGAGTTGCCACCATGGAGGATGGCATGGAACCAAGTAACCCTGTAGCCTTGGACAGACATTGGGCTGTTACAGGAGGAAGCATTGTTTGGCCACTGAAATTTTAAGGTTTGTTCTTGTGATAATTAGCAACAGTAAAAATTAATTGATGAAACTCTAATGCTCATGTGGTATCCTAGGGAAGGTGTTTGTAGGAAGTATCCATATTTTGGCACAGTAGGGATCTTTTTTTCCACAGTAGATTCCAAACAGGAAGAGATTATTCCCTATTCCATGTCAATGGGAATTTAAAAGGCTTTCCGGCCCTAATTGTTTCAGTGAGCAAAGGACTTATCTGCAGATTGGAAGGCAGAGAGAATGCAGATTAGCACTGGATAAAGGCAGAGCGAGATTGTACCATGTGGTCAAGTTTGTCTATGAGTAGTTAGTAAGTTGAGGAGCATCTTGACATAGAGGAAATTCTTCAGTGAAAACAAAGATACTGTAATAAGCACGATTCATTGTGTGGAGACTGGCTTTAAAGCTGGCAACTAACAATTTCTCCCTTCCCTATACTCACAAATTTCTTTGTCAGGTGGATTCTCTTTCCCGCCCCTTGAATGTGGCTGGCCATGTGCCCTGCTCTGGCCAATGGAATGCCGTGGGAATGACACTAGGGTGGTTCTGCACTTAGGGAGTAGATTGGTGTGGGTTCTCCAGAGGAAGGGTCAATTATCCAAGCGGATTTGTCAGGCAGGCTCATGGGATCAAAAACTGGAGAGAACAAAATGGCCGACTGGGGGCTGGAGAGCCAGAGGATCCAGTGGCTGCTCAGACCAAGAAGCTAGCAGCTGTAGAACAAGAGGGGTCAAAGGTGTAGCATCCACCAGAGGCTGAAGGCTTAGAAGCTCCATTGGGAATCGCTGGTCCAGGCTTATAAAGCTGGAGTCTGATGTCCACAGGCAGAGGCAGCAGCAACACGGAGCATAATAGAGCTGTAAGCACAAGTCAACTTCCTCCTTCTCTTTTTTTCATTTCATCCAAGCTGTAAGACTAGTGGATGGTGCCACCCACCATCAGGGAAGGATTCCCCCCTCAGTTTGCTGGCCTGTGTGCCAATCATCTCTGGAACCACCCCTACAGACAATCCCGGAAGTGAGCTTTACTCAGTTCCTAGGTATCCACTCACACTGACAATCAAGGTCAACCATCACAGGGAGCTTCTGCTCCGCTGGAACCCAGCCACCAGGCTGTGAGGAAGCCTCTGTAGACTGTGGAGGAAGACAGGCTAGAAGGAACTCTGAAGCCCCAGCCACAGGCCAGCACCTGGTCTTTGGAATGAAGTCTTTGCGAATGTTCTGACCCCAGTGGAGCACCCAGCTGCATGCAGTTAGGTACTCATGGAGACCATGTTCCACTCCACATGGAACAGATTTGTGCCTGTAAGGCAGTGATGGCGAACCTTTTAGAACTATCAATGATATAAACAGCTTGCTGCAGCACACGTGCCTTAGGTTCTCACCACTGCTGTAGAGAAGACAACCCACAGAATAAAAAAAGTGATAAATCATGTTTATCCTGTAGCAATACATAACTGAGGATAAGTGATAAACGCTTTTAAGTAAGAGGTGGATGCACCAAGGGTGTGGTGAGGGTTTCAGATGTGGTAAGGCCAAGAAAAACATTCAACAAATAAATTAGAGAATTTCCTTATGACTCAGTGTGTGAGACCAGGAGGAACCAAAGATTATGGAGATAAAATTCCTGCCCCTGTGCTCATAGCAAAGCAGAAGGAGACAGAAATGCAAACAAATAGCTAGTTATTGAAATTGCTAACTGAGCTGGGGTCCCAAAAGGGAACCTATCCATTTTTAAAAGCTTAAATGGAGTGCATAAGATGGATAGTATTTGCTGAATTACTGAAGGGAATTGCAGGGAAGGAGCAAAAGCAATGCCGAGGTGTGACATGGTAAGCAAAGAAAGTGAGGAGAGAACCCAGGTGCTGCCCAGAGGGAACACGAGCAGTTTGCAAAGGCTAGGCTGAGAGTGGGCAGCCAGGTGACACACACAGCCCTTGTGGTGTCCTTGTTCCTAACACAGCTCACGCCACCAGGCTGGACTCTGTGCCCCTACTACGCTGGCTGACACCATGGGTTGTGACCTCGTGCCTGCCCACCAGGCTTACCCACATCAAATGGGGCAGCTCTCATTGGGGGGCGAGTGGTGTACAAATTGCAGGGTCAGACTTGGGTTTGCAAATGGCAAATGAATCAAAAGAGTGCTCCAGCCCAGTCAACATTTCTCACTTGATGAAGTGGTGGTCTTCATGTCTGCAACACCTCTGATCTTTGTAAAAAAGAGCCTTAATCCGGCTCTTTGTGCTATTGTTACATAAATCAACGATTCACCCAGTGTTTTCACTTCCCTGATTTTAATTCTCCTACTTACAAAACCAACAAAAACATGGCTCTACTTGAACCCTTCAGAGCATTCACATTAGAAGAGGAAATAGGAGTTCTGTTATCTATTTGAAGCTGGAAGGAAAACCCTTTTCTGAGCCTTCTGTAATGGGGGGCAGGAGCATCCAAAATTGGGTACAAATATCCATTATGAAGGAAGAAAAAACGTTCAACCTCTATTGTTGTGTATGTGTGATTGTGCAATGTGTGTGTGTATTTTGTGATGTTGGGGATGAAGCTCATGCATACTAGGCAAGTGCTTACCACCTACAGCTCCACACTTACTATTTTATCAAGATATAGTATATGAGTAAGTTCTAAATAAGCATACATATGGACGGTACCTGGCCCAATCAGGTAAGCAGTTGGCCCCTCCGAGCTCCTGAAGTCCCATTAGTGTCTTCCTGTCCCCTGCCATAGGTGAGCTTCCCCGTACAGTACACATCTTCTGCAGGAGGAGCCAGGAACATGAGCTCCCCTGACCCCACCAGCCAGCACACTCCCTGGCTCCAGCCCATTTTTGCTTTGACTTGTTCAGACAGAACTGTTTTGCCCTGAAGTCTGTTCCCTCTGCTGTCGAGAATGGTCCCTTCCAGCTGGCGGCTTCACTGTCACACTTCAGCTATCCTCCTTGCCTTTACCCTTCACCTCTGGGCGGGGGTACTGATTCTCAGTACCTCCTGTCCTCCTATCCCATTGAGAAATGATCTATCTCCCTCTGTGCGGTGAAAAGCCACAGAGCAGGCTGTGACCAAAACAAATAGTAAAATAAGATAGCTGGAAATACTTGGGGCTCATTGAGGGCAGAATCAGAATAAAAATTCAAAGGAACTCTAGTGTCCAGAGCATTGTCGAATCCAGCCATGGCTTTGAGGATTTCTCCCAAAGCCCAGAGCCTAGCAATGATTGCTGAATGTGTTCCGCCCTTTCATACAGATGTGGCTTGTTTAAGCATTTGACACCAGCACCCTGCACTCTACAATTTGATGCCCTGCAGCCCAACAGCTTCACAGACGAACAGGGGAAAGGAGCCCTTCCCTCCGCCTGCATGAAGAAGACTTCCATTCACACAGGCTCTTGCAGGGGCTGAAAACAGAAACTGGCCAGTCCACCCCCACGGCCATGAAGAAAGATTTGGCTCTGCATCCTGTCAAACCCAGGTAAACTCCTGGGCTAATTTCACTTTTCCACTTTCCAGGGTTGCAAAGGCCTCTCCTGGGGAATCACAATGACAGGTTTATGCATTTACACCAGAAAGTGCATTTAGATCCAGAAGAGCCGAGCAGAAGGAAACAGTTTCTTTCTCTCGGGGGATCAGCACAGGCATGCTGAAAAGTCAGCTGTCGCTCTTTTTCACGCCTGGGACACAGTTTAATCAGAACTTAATGTGCCTCCCTCCCAAACTGCTGTTCTGCGCTCTCCGTGGTGCTGTCTACATTGGGTGCCTCCAGGCAGCTCTCTCCGTGACCTGGAGCGCTGAGAATGCACCTCAGTCGCATTTTACTTACCAAACTCCCTTCAGCTGTAGGTAAACCGTTTGATTTCTGCTGCCTTTGCTTTCCCATAAAAGGGATTTAAAAAAAAGTTCTCCATGAACTCTCAACTTGTTTTAAAATAAATAGCTAGTTTTTATTCTTTATTGCTTTCCCCCCTCAGTTATTTGCTGTTTTGCCCTCTCTGGGTTCTGGAGGCTTATAAAAATTCATTAGTCATTTTCCAACTTTACAGATGAGAACAGAGGTTTCCAAAGAGCAAAGCGGACACTGGCTGAGGTAGCGCCAGTGATCCATGTTGTTAGCGTTGGCTTGATCAGTTTCCTTACTCTGAGTACGCAAACAGAGTGAAGACACAGGCAGATATGCATCTGGTTGCTGTATTCCAAGGGAGAAAGGTGTTCTCCAGACTCTGCAAATCGGGTATCCACTGACCTGTTTGAAGTCTGAGCTCCTCCCTGTGATGGAGAGTCTAATCAGATCTCCCTCCTAACCAAAGTATTCAGTATGGTGCACTCACTGTAAGTTCTATCTGTCAGTCTTCCTGGTGAATGGAGGCAAAGGATAACAGGCTGGTGTTGTGTATCTTCAGTGGATTAGGGAGATCAGGGAGCACATTAAGACCCCAAACCCTTCCTGAGTTGGGTACCCTCATTCCCATGCAGTAAGCAACCTGGGAGTTCTCTCTCCAACCATGACCTTGAAATTTGTAGGCTCATCTTCATCATTATTATATTAATAAAACTCTTAGAGTTTCACAATAGAAAAACCATGCCAGATGAATATTAAAAAAACCCACGTGGCTCTGAGTGCAGTGAAATACAGGCGTGTACCTTCTAACACTATCTCTCCCCTTCTTTCCTTCCCTCCCTCCCAGGTTCCTTCTCTCTTGCACAGATGTAAGACACACTCCACTGTACTTGTGTTTAGGTTTTTACTTTACTCTCCATTTCATTGTAACCCCTCTTGGCTGGGTCCATGCTGTCGACGGCCAGGAACCCCATTAGCATCACCAGGGGTAACTACCCACTTACAGCCATTTGAGGACTGACCATGATACTTAGGAAGCACCTGCAGGTTTGTGCCTGCGCAGCAACCTTCCTGTTGAATGAGCGTCTCCATCTGGAGATGGATGGCATCCATAGGTCAGTAGGAGCAGAAAGCTGTGTTCTTCCGGGGTGTGAAGAGCAAGCAGACCCATCTTGGGTCTTAGGCCCAGGCTGAGGTTGAGAGGGGCCCATATTTGCTGTAACTGGCCCTGCTCCAGGTGCGGGAGATTCAGCTGGAGCTTTAGGGACCCAACCAGGCTCCAGAGCAGGTTGTCACAGTTCCTTTTAACTGGCCAGGTGCTCTACAGGGAGAGCCTGTAGGGAGCTCATTAGTTCATGAAATTTTACACAGAATTAAGCAAATTTCCCGAGAATTTAGTATATGGATTTCATTGTGACTCTAAGAGGGAGTAGAAAAGGGGAGAACAGTAGAGGAGGTTTTCTACATCTTTCTGTTCTGAGAGTCCCTTTCACTGGAAATAAATCTCTGCTATTTCTAAGGACTATGACCCCAAGCCAGCTGGGGGAACGTCCAGCCGTTTACCTCCGTTGAAACTCGACTCCCAGCCGAGTGGGGAAACTCCAAGCCAAGAAGCTCCAAATTTGAGCACCTTTGTGTATCCTCAGTGGATTACAGAGATCAGAGAGTGTGTTTTAGGGGTGCCTCTTTAGGGGTACACGGAAATTCTCTAAGAGTGCACAGACACTTTTTTTGTAGTATTGGGATTGAACGTAGGGGCTATTTCCCCAGCCCTTTTTCATTTTTCACTTTGAGACAAGGTCTTGTTAAGTAACTAAATTGCCTATTCTGAGCTAGAACTTGGAATCTTCCTGCCTCAGCCTCCCAGAGTCCTGAGATTACAGCCGTGCATCACCACGCCTGGCTGGGGTTGTGTATTTAAATTCTAGGTCTATCACTTCCACGGGCACTCTTTCCTAAAATTGTTCTGCTGAGAACTGTATGGTAGTAAGCCATCCTACTGAGTGGAGATTCTCTCCTCTCCCCTTTTAGATAGTCACTTCCTAGACGAAGGCTGTCTAGGACCCTATGAATGGTGCCCATAGACATGGGGGTGAGACACCTCACCAACCCCCTCTCTCTCATCTTCCCTGCATGCACTACCCCGGGGCAGACAAAGTCCTCCTTTTTTTCCCCCTAGAAAGTGAATGATTTCTATTCATGGAGTAATAAATCCTTTTGTAACTCAAATGATTCCTTATTTTTTACTTTCATGAAAATTGAGGGAAGAGCTAAATGAGTTGTCAGAGGATTAGCTCATTAAATAATTTTGATGATAGATCATCACATCAGGGGTTTGAATAATTAACATTGTTATGATAAAATACATTCATTATAATTTACTTATTTAAAGTTTCATAGTGCTTGCAATAATAGCAGCAACAATAATTATAAAATAGGAATAATGTTGATAAAGAGCCCTATTTTGGTAAAGAAGGCTGGTGAATTTTTTTTTCAGTAAAAGTTTACTTTTAACATAAAGATGTTTAAACATAAAGATCTTTAAAAATTACTTACAAAGATTGTCTATGTTGTTTCGATAAACTGGATATTAATATACTTATAATGGTAATTCAGTCCAGAAATATCTCTTTGATAATCTTGGGCTTCAAGGTCATAGGAAATTTTAAAAGTGAATTTCAATTTAAACAATTTTTACTTGCAAATAATTATGGATTACCAATAAAAGAACTTTAGGCATAAAATATATCCTATTAACATAAAATTATATAGAGGAAGGAGTAAATGGAATAATTTTCAGCCTATTAAAGATGAGGTGGTTCATGTACATCTAAATAAATCAGGCTTGATATCAAAGTGCTGGGTCATTTAGATTCCACAGAAAACATTTTTAAAAGTCATATGAGTTTTATATTTCAATGTTCAATATTTCCAGTTCATCAGAAGTTAAGTTCTTTGCAGCTATGTAAAGCTATGAAGAAATATTTAACATGATAACTTAAAAGGGTCCAAGAAGCCATATTGTTTTCAAAAATTCTTTTGGAGGGTGGGCAGGGGGTTTAGCTCAGAGGTTCCGCCGCCTGCCTCACAAGCACAAGGTCCTGAGTTTGATCCCCGGTACCAAAAAAAAAATTCTTTTAGACAGTAACTAAGCAAGATATTGATCAGCATCCAACAACACATAAGAAAAATCACAAAGTAATAAGAAATAGAAATTTGGAGATAGCAACATTTGGCCTAAATCAGGCTTTGAGCTAGTACGGCAGTTCTTTGATATTTGCTTTTGTTTTGTTTTATATATTTGTATTAGTACATATTTATAATACATAATGATTACATTCATTGTGGGGAATTGGTACATGTATATAACACATCTCAATTCTTTTTTCCCCTTCCTCTCCACCCCCTTTTTTGCCAGCATCAGATTTATTTATCTTATAAATCCTTATAAAGTTAATTGTCATACATAAATATTTACAACCAGACAAGCCAAAAAATATATAAAATACATAAGACAATTACACTAAACCAAGGGACACTTTTAGGGCCAGGGATTTAGCTCAGTGGTTACATTTCCTGTCTCGAAAGCACAACCACTGAGCTAAATCCCCAGCCCTAAAAGTATCCTTTGGTTTAGATACATTGTCCATGCTGTATTTCAATAACTTTTTCTTCTCTCTTTTTTCCTGTTGTCTGTCTTTTATCCTGTACTTTATTTATATTTTGACTTTCTCATATAAGAGACACCCTGCAATATTTAAGCTTGTGTGGCTGGTTTACTTCATTTAACATTATGAATTCAAAGTGCATCCATTTTGCTACAGATGACTCAAGTTTATCTCTCTTTATGGAAATAGAGTATTCCATTGTGTATAAATACCACATTTTAAAAAAATACCACATTTTCTTTATCTATTGATTCATTCATCTATTGGTGGACATATAGGCTGCTTCCAGGATTTAGCTATTATGAATTGTGCTGCTATAAGCAAGAGAATGCATACACCATAGTGGTATGATGTCTCTTAACTCTTTTGGAAAGATAACTAGAATGAGAATAGCTTGGTCAGATGGAATTTCTATTTTTAGTGTTTTGAGGAATCTCCATACTGATTTCAATAGTGGTTGTACCAATTTATATCTCACCAATAATAAAGAAGGGTTCCTTCCCACCCCCCCACCCCCAACACACACACCCTTGCCAGCATTTGCTATTGGTTGGTTTTTCAATGATACCCATTATTTTGGGAGTGAGATGGAATCTCAGTGTTGTTTTAATTTGCATTTCTTGAATGGCCAGCAATACTGAATATTTGTTTCAAGTACTTGTTGGCTGTTCGCACTTTTTCATCTGAGAAGTGTCTATTCATTTCAGAATTCCACTTTTTGATTGGGTGTTTAAATATTGGGGGTCAGATTGTTTTGAGTTCTTTCTATATCCTAGATATTAGTCCTTTGTTGTGCAGAAGTTTTTTAATTTGATGTGATCCCATTTGTTGATTGTTAGCATTATTTCTTGTGCAACCAGGGTTCTGTTCAGAAAGTCTTCACCTACACCTCTGTCTTCAGGTGTTTTACCTATTTTGCCTTCCAGCAGATTGGTTGTATTTTAATGTTTAGATCTTTGATCCATTTTAATTTTAGTTTAGCACATGATGAGAGACCTGGGTCTAGGTCAGTGGTGGCAAACCCATGGCACACGTGTTATTTGGTTTTCTTTTAAGACGAAAGATGGTCATGTATGGTCATGTATGAGTTGTTTAAACTAGAGCCTCAGTATTCAGCTGTAATTGCAGTGTTGTCACTTTGCAATAAATAAGTGGGTTTTGTGTTGCAGTTTGGGGACTCATCTCTACAAGGTTTGCCCTCACCGGTCTAGGTTCAGTCTTTGGCATGTGGGTAGGGAGTTTTCCCAGCACAACTTGTTAAAGAGGCTATCTTTCCTCACATGAAATTATTTGGCCCCTTTGACAAAGATAAGGTAGCAGAGTGTGCCGCACTTATTCTGTTC